GGCAGAGAGGGAGAGAGGGAGGGAGAGGGAGGGAGGGAGAGGGCAGGAGGTAGGCAACCTGTAGGCGTTGGGGGAATAGATGCACTCAGTAGAGAAGTAGTCAAGCTTCTTGAAATGAGCATACCTGCCCAAGTGTCAGCAAGGAAAGAGTAGAGCAGGCCGGGAGAGGAGGGAGGGAGGGAGGGAGGGAGGGGAAGAGGGAGGAAGAGGGAGAGAGAGCGAGGGAGGAGGGCAAGGTGGTGGAAGAGGAGGCGGAGGAGGAGGCAAGGGGGAAGAAGTGGAGAACGAGCTCTCACATGACGATCTCCTTTTCGTATGCATGCTTGAACGGCTTGCTGCGAGGGAGATTGCCGTCCATACCCGTTGAGATCTGAGGAGGAGGAGGCTCAGCAGCAGCATGCTTCCTCTTGCTTCACCTGAGTACATCGCTGCAGACGAGGAACGTCTCCTCTGAGGATATTGAGAAGAACCTGCGAGGGCATCAGTACGACGCTGCTCCTCCTCCTGCTCCTCCTGCTCCTCCTCCTGCTCCTCCTCCTCTCCTTTCCTGGCTCCTCCCCTTCTCGCACTCTCCCTCACCGTCTCCGCGATGTCGTCGGCATTGTGTCCTGTCACTATCTTGTCTGCCTCGAGGATGCTTGCTCCTCGGTCAAGCGCCTGCACGGGCGTCTCAAGTCAGCTTCTCTCTCCTCCCTCCTCTCAGATTTCTCCCTCCTCTCTCCTCCTTCCTCTCATACTCCTCCCTCATCTCATTTCTGCTCTCCTTTTTGAATTTCTCTCTTCTTCTTCACCTGCCGTCTGAAAACTCCGCAGAACGTGCAGTTGCCTTTCCTTCCAATGTGCGAGACTGGAGGAGAAAGAAACGTTAGAGGAGAAGGGAGGAGGGAGAAGAGAGGGAGTGGGAGTGAAAGGAGTAGAGAGAGAGGAGAAGTCGGGAGAGAAGGGAGGGAGGGGTGGGGGGGAGGGAGGGGGGAATATACAAGGTTGGAGGAGGGGAAGAGAAGGGAGGCGTACTAAACAAGAGGGAGGGAGGAGCGAGAAGAGCTGAGGAGGAGGAGCGGAGCAGGGAAAGCTTACCGATTGAGTCCATTGACCAACCATAGAGGTCTTGATAGGAAAGAATCTTCAGAGGAAGGTCATACTGAACCTGCAGCTCCTTGAGACATTTTTGTCGTCCCCCCCCCCCCCCTCCTCCTCCTCTCTCTCTC